GACAGACACATCTTTAGCATAAATACTTTATTAGAAATTGTGATTTTTTTTGTGAACAACAGACTTGTAATGTTTACTGAAAGTTTGTCAAATTTAGAGAGGTTAAACTCAGTAAATTCAGAGTTCTAGTATGTATAATTTCATGGTTTTACATCTATTATACATTTCAAGTTACTTGGAGATTTGCCAGACATTTGCTCACAAAGCTGAACCCTTTGATTGCAGCTGTTTTAAATGGGCAAGGAATTTTTGTGAGCTACACACTGTATACAGCACACTTTCATTCAACTTCCAGAAGTGAGTCATAACCTATACAGTGAATCAGCAGGCAATCAGGGATCGAAATATTACATTCCTGCATTCCCAAAGAATTTAACTTTGCTTCAGGAATTTCATCTTTTTAGTTGGTTTTCCTGATGAGGAATGCATTGTCCATCCTTATTCCTTTAGTTATGACCCACGGAAGTGAACATATTGCATGGATTAAATAAAAAAAATTCATCCTGGGAATTTAATCTTTCTGATAGCTTTCCCTCCAGTGAATGTCATTTTATTTCATTATTTCTGACCCTGTCAAGAGGTTAAATCAGGTCTACTGTATATTTTCTTACATTTTTTTCTGTTTTAAAATAGATCCCAAGCACGTTTTGGGAAAAGATGGGTTCATAGCTTATTGTTTGAATTCTTGTTCATGTTTATGTACTGATGATGGAACATAAAAGTAAAACTGAAAACTCTAAATTAAGAGAAAAAAATCATGACCCAAATAAAATGAATCTCAGTGAGAGCTCTGTTATCAGAGTGAGTTATTTGTGTTTATTAATGAAGTACATGGCTCCTATGACACTTATCACAAGTAGTATAAGCTGTCTTTGTGTGTCCACCTTTTTGCTTTCAAAAGTGAGATCATTATTTTTCAATCTATATAACTTTGTCAACAGTTTTCAAGTGTCTAATTAAAACATTATTCTTACCCTGTATGGACTATTATTAAAGTTAAATGCCCTGCAAAGTAATGCTTGATCATGGCCTCATTATAAGTATACTGGACTTTTAACTAGAGGGTTCATGGTTCGCTTCCCATTACTGCAAAATTCATTAGAATAGCCTAAGAGTTGACAACTCAGAATTAGCAGCAGCTAGTGCAGGTAGACCTTGTGTAGCTTTACATGAATAACCTGAACAAGCAAACAGCACAATATGTTTCGCTGACACTCATGATGTCTCAGGAGGAAACAAACATAGCCAAGATTTGGAAAATGTTTTTGTACATACCCATTCCCTCAAACATTTGTCAGCATCTTTTATTTTATTTGGAGTGGAGGTTTCAAATTAGTTAGAAAAAAAACTTACACCTTCCAGAAATAATGAATCTGTAAATATGTGAATGCACATTTTTTTGTCTTTAATATTTGACCACCTGGACTTTTCATCCATGATTAATTGCTTGTTACCGTCTTTCATGAACTTCTGATAATTTCTAGAATTTAGGAATGTATTAAAATTGTTAACAAATAGTGTCAGCTTTTCTAGGTGCCAGATATGCATTCTTAGTTAGCTTATTCAAGAACAAGCACACAAAGAGTAAGTATATCATGTGTACCATGTTGTGTGTGCAGCATTTAAGGTTAGTATTTTACTAGAATTAGTTGTGCAGTTTCAGTTTTCTCTTGTGATAAGTATGACATTGTGTAAGTGTTTTTATTTTTAATCTTTATTTAAATTCAGTTGATTGGATATCTGTTTTTTTTTTTAGGTGTTAACAGAAATTATAGACAAACAACACTGTTACAATGGGTCAAACTTGAAATCTGTGATTAAGTTGATACTCCTAATAATTTTTATATGTTTTCATAATAGTCATACTTCTTTTAGTGTTATAAAGATGTTTCATTGAGATGTTAATAGTGTATATAAATGTTAATTTTGAACAAAACCTTATTATTACAATTGGTGAGGTGGAAGATAAATTTACCAGCTTCAAGAAAGCATTATAGCAATGTTTTCAAAATACCAAAAAGCAGGATTGGTGTTTTCTTTCACCAATAACCCCTTGTATATGCTGTTTTGTGATGTAAAAACCAACTATGATGTGACATTATAATTCAGTATGAAGTGTTTAGAAACTTTATAATAAGTGTTGTGTACAAAAGTAAAAAAAAAACAAAAATTAAACTCAACTAGTGTGAAACTAATTCACCAGAATTACTTTTGATGCTATAGGCTTCAAAGTCTAGTAAGGTCCTGTACTGTTGTCAGATAGTGTTTTGATGTATTTATAAACACTAATATTTCAAAAAAATTTAGCTTTATAAGTCATTCTTTAATTTGAATTAAATAAAGTATAATCAGAAACAAAAAATAATGAACTGAAATAATGAAGATGATTGTTAGTTCAGTAAATAAAAGTTTGTTACTGATAATAATTCTTAAGGTAACACTGACACTTAAAGAATGGCCACAATATTTCAAAAATCACATTTTTCAAATTTAGCCTAAATTGAAAGTTTAACCTCTTTTCTACATAAATAACTAATTTTTTGTCTTAATCTCTTCACAGATTAACATGTAGTAAGTGATTAAAAATAAAAGTATGGTTTGTTTTCATTCTGTTTCCATGGATATAAAAAGTAAAAAGCTTTCAGACAGGTAAATCATTGAAGGGAAGGGGCAGCTAACCGACAATGCTATAAGATTCTTTCCATCCAGTTCTGGTATAGAAAAGCCATAAGAAGTAACAAAGGAGACCTACAGGGGATGAAAGATAGTGTTTGGGCAATATACTATCATAAGATCTCTTCCGACTCCAACCCATAGCATCATCTTTGTCCAAAAGGAGTGGACAGCTGGTGCAATTATCGTAAGGTAGAAGCAAAGGGGGGAATTGAGGACTTCTATCATAAGCATACCATAGCACCAGCTGTAATGATCAGCATCAAACCAATATTTGACAGACCTTTTAATCCAATTTTGCATCAAAAATGCTTGGACTGCATTTCCAAAAACCCTAATAGTCATTGAGTCATGTGATCTAGAGAAGGTGCCTCAGGTCTTTATTTGCTGGCAGCAGAACCATTTGTTGGGTTGCTGCTGATGCTGTATGCACCTTTAATGAAGGTGTTGCATCTAAAGTAAGAGTCCTTCAAGCAATGTAAATGACTGTAGAACCATACACAAGAAAATGCCTGGAGAAAAATTGATTTAGAAAAGGTGAAAGGAGCAGAAAGGGCTTCCCTCCGAGAAAGGAAAGCAGGAATGTGTGTCTCGCAGAAATGTCAAAAATGGACTTTGAGGATGCTGCTATCAAAAAAAAAATAAGGGGATGTTTATGTTTCAGTGGGATATTAGATAAGAAAATGAAGTTAGGATGGCTCCTGGTGCCTACAATAGGATTGAAATATTTTAAATGTGGTAAATGCACACATTTACTAAAAGTTTACTAACATTTAAGTGCAGAAAAACATTAATGGCTATTTTCTCAAAACTCAGTTTTTGCTGAGGTCACCAATTTATTAGCATGATAACTTCACCATTAAAGCCAATATCAGCATGAAATGTATCACACTTGTTGATATTACACTCTTCCATAACTTGAATTTTTAAAATTCCAAAATTTTTACCAATTGTCTTGTTATGAGTCTAATTACCACTAACAAAGCATTAATTAAAATTGCCCATATCTCATTTATGTCGTAGAAAATTTGCAAAGTTTTTAACTCAAGCTATAAGGATGTTCACAAAGAGCATGTGTATCAATTTTCACGTTTTTATCATTCCTAAGTAAAGTTATTGTGTTTATAATAGTTTATGTTATGTATTTCTCTATCCCTGCCACATTAATCTCTGTTTAAGAGATTGCAAAATCATACTTTTGTTTTGTGCTTAACTTGGAGGTTATAAGAAGTGTTTAACAGTTTCCTCAGCATGTAAATTTGCCCAGTTTTAAGGGTCAGTGCTACCTTAAATAGCTGTCGGCTTGTTCGTGAATGTATAGTACTTCCTGTAAAGAAAACAAAAAAAGAACATGGGTTATATTCCTTTACATACTCAGAACATGTTACGACTTATTAATTATACTTTAGTGAATTTTATATTCTCTGTTCCTTGCTTCATATCTGTATTAGTTAATGTTTAAACTGGAATTCTTTCTCTCTAGATATGTTTAAACTGGAATTCTTTCTCTCTAGATATAAAATAAAAGTAATTAGAAAAGTCAACAGGCTTTATTTTTTTACGATGTTAAAGTTAGGATTTAAATTTTAACAAAAATATTTAAAATGACAGTTAATCCCTAAATATATGAGTAGTTAATTTTGTTAATGGTATATAAAGTTGTTTTTGTCTAGTTGTTAGTTCTTGTTGGATCCATTGATTTCTTATTGCATTATAAAAAATAGTTTAGTCAAATAAGGTCCCTGTGCTGTACTTGGCATTCCTTTCATTGGCTTCACTGAGACAGCTTGCTGTGCATCATTTGTCATACAGATCTATGAATAATAGCATAAAATTTTCCTGGAAATTCACACCTACTGGTCAGGTTCGTCATATTAGTGTAATTAATTTGAATATAAGCCTGCTCTTCTAGATTTTCTGGAAACCCTAGAACCCCTGAAAGTTTCATAGTGATCAGAGTTTGGGAAGTAAGCACTAAGACAGTAGCAAGGGAGAAATTGAAGTGGCTGAGAAACTCATAAAAATGGGAAAATGAATAAAGTAAGGGGTTTTAGAATCCTTCTGGGTCATACTTCAGTATTCATGATAATTTCATAGTGATCAGAGGCTGAAAAGTAAAAAATGTTTTGTCAGTGGACAGACACACAGAAACAAGCCACTTTATAGTGTAGATTTTCATTTACTTTTATAGCTCAATTTGTAATGGAGCAAAATCTCAATTTTTTCTACGATTTTTTATTCACTGGGTTTCCATTTTGGTACTGATCTTACATGTTCTTGTTATACAGTACAGTTGTTACATGTTTAGAAGTTACTGTTCATTTCAGTGAAGACTCTGTTGATGAAAACGAAGATGGGAGTGATGACCAAGATGATGATGAAGAAGGGGGAGAATGCCATGAAGACCAAACTAATCCAGAAATTACATTGACAGACAAAGAACAAGTAAGCATATCCCTGTATTAACCTAGAAATAAGACTGGTTCAATTATTATACATTTTTAAAGAACTATTGAGATGGTAATGTTTGATGAAAAACAAATTATACGTACTCTGATATTTTAGTTTTTTTGTATAGTAAACAGATATAATTACTATATATTTTCTGAGTTTTACACCACAGAAAATCATATGTATGTAAAAATTTATGGCATAGCAGCTTTAATGATCATGATATATCAGTAAGTTGATTATGATTACATTACTTAAAATTCAGATTTGTGATTGTGAGAGGGGCTTTACAGTTTATGAGTAATTTCCATTTTTAGTGAGGTAGACATTTTGGCATGCTAAATAAAGAAAATAAAGGTAACACAATTGGGAATAATAATCATTCGTATTAAAAAATTCAGTTGCACTGTACAGTATATAGGTTTCAGCCTTGAAGTTGTGTAATAAGTGATTGACTACTTTAATAAATGCTTCATTTTATGAATGTAAAATTTGAAACATGTTCAGACTTGTTTGAAATAAAGGTTTTACCAGATTTTTTTTATCATTACTTCATTCTTTCTGCAGATTCCATTTTATTATTTAAAATTACATGATAACTGTTGATTCTTTATAGAATAAGTTTTAAACATGCCCAATGTGTAGCAGATATGTGTATATGTGATGTGATCTAGGCCTACACATGAATGGATGGGAAGCTTGAGGGTCACTGTTAGCATGTATAACACAGACCTGTGATGGTTTTATTGTTGTACAGTAATTCCTACTATTTCCTCTACTGTTCTAGCACAATCCTCACTTTCTCAGTTGGCATTCTAGTATATAGATGTGTGTTTTAACTTGTTCTCTAAGTATTTTTAGTTTATATGTCCTTTTGACTACACTTGATGACAGTTCCGTGGATTCTACGGGTTCTGTCTGAAGGTTTCTGCCTTCAGTTCCCTTCTCCTCGAGTCATACCTTGTTCAGTTGTCTTGCTGAGTCTGTTCAAGACCTCCTACACAAAGGAGCTATTAAATGGGTGGTGCCCACACAACTGGGATTTTACAGTCTATTTGTTGTCTCCATAAACATGGGAGATTGGAGACCCATTATAGATCTGTCCCAGTTGTATACCTGTCTGGAGACACCTCGCTTCAACATGGAGTCCTACCTCTCACTTCAGTGGGTTTTTTTCCAGGGATTTTGGAAGTTTGATGTGACGAATACCTATTTTCATATTCCAATTGCCCCAGTGTCATGTTGTTTTCTTTGGTTTGACCACGAGGGTTTTGTCTTCCAGTTCTGGGTGCTGCCATTCAAGTCTTTCTTCAGATTATTATGTGTTTTGCAAGTGGTATGCTCTTTTGCATGTCATCTTCACCTGCTGGATCTTCATACTCCTCATTACATAGAAGCCTGGCTACTGCTCACCTCTTCCCCTGCCCAGTCAGTCACTCACACCTGCTTACTTCTTAAAGAAGCTGCTCGAGTGAGGTTTCTCATGAAGTCGGAGAAGTCCTTTACTACCTCCACATGGTGTCTTAATAATTGGGGGTTATCTTTGATTCCCATCTCAGTCGGGCCTTTTCCACTTCAGCTCCAGAATATGGAGCGGGCAGTCACAAAGACCATACCTTCTACTTTTCTCTCTGCACGAGAGATTCTATTTCTTTTGGGGACGTGGGCTTCCTTGGAAGCTCTCATTTTCTTGCATTCCCTTCATTGGATGCATTTTGATCAGTGGAACTTCTCCCATGATCCCTTGGACCACCCTTCAACTTAGGATCAGGGCTGACCCTGCTTGGTGGCTTGACAGGAACTTGAGCATGGTGGGGTTTCCCATTCCTCCACCTCGTTCCTGAGTCTCATCTGTTCACATATGCTTCCTTAGTGGGTTGGGGGGCTTTCCTTGATCCCGAGAAATTTCGGGTTGGTGGCCAGTCGAGTAGGCTACTTTCCATATCAACATCCTGAAACCTTTGTCAGTTCATTGGGCTCTGTATTATTTCCTTCCACTCTTGTGGGGTGGGTGGTATGGTTCATTCTGACAATTCTACTGTAGTCAGTTATATCCCCAAGCAAGGGGGAACCAAGTCCAGATCTCTGTGTTCCCAAACTCTGGATCTCCTGTACTAGGCCAACAACCATGACATGAATCTTGTGGCCCGATTGCTTGTCCCAACCAGGTTCTCCCCATGGAGTGGTCCCTTCATCCTCAGGTATTTCTGTGGGTATGTTCTCAACAGGGAACACTACATATATATGCATTTGCCACTCACTGGTCTCACTCCTCAGCTCTGGAGGTGGATGCTTTCAGTCAAGATTGGAGGGGTCTTCACCCGTATGCCTACCCTCCAATCAGACTCCTCTCCAGAGTCATTTCCCTTATCCAGACCACTCCTTGTCGTGTTCTGCTGGTTTCTTCATATTGGCTGGCTCAGACTTGGTTCCCTCTGCTCTGGTCCTTACTGAAGTAACAGCCCCACCCTTCCCTCTATTCTGGTCACTCCTCCAACAACTACAATAGGGCATATTTCATCCCAATGTCACCAAACTCCAAGTGTGGTTTTTGTCCAGTCCCTTGCCTCAGCTCAGAGGACTCACCCCTTATGTTGCATATTTCCTTGCCCTTCTTCCTTGTTTCATTACCAGAGGTGTTGGTCTTACTTCAGACTTTGGTCTATCCACCATGGCTTCCAACCATCCCGTCCTTCTGTTCTTCACTTGGTTGTTTGATGAGGGTTTGTCTGTTTCAACTGTTGCTCATTAGAGGGCTGCCCTGTCGAACACCTTCTGTTCTCCTGCTTCCGGAAAGCCTTCTCTCCCGGTTGTTTTCCTCCTTTTTTGTTCCTTTCATCTAGTCCATCTGACATATCCCTTTGTTTTTTTTATTGGGATTTCAATGTTGTCCTTTGTGCCTTGTCCTTTTGAACCCATTGCAATGTTTTCCTTGTACCTTTTTTGCCTTAACACATATTTCCTCCCTTTCCTGGCATGCGGTCATTGTCATTCTGATATTTATGCATTAATGTTTCCTACATCCTGTACTATTCCTTGTATGTTATCCTCTTTCTGGTTCAGGCCTTCCTTCCCAGGACATTGGCTGCTCGGGAAGGTTGTTTAGCCTTTTCTCCTATTTTCTACCTGTACTCCCATTTGGATCCAGATTGACTACTTTGTCCAGTTTGTTCCCTGCTATGTTATATGGCTCATACTGCCTCCTTTTGTGGCTCTTGTTCCTGTCTATTTGTTCCATGGAATTCTTCTGTTTCCCGTGATCTACCACCTATTATGCTCATTGGTTGGGTTCATCAACTCGTAAGACTGGCGTATTCAGACGTGTCCATGGAAGGTCGCCATCAACATAATGTTTCTTTGCACCAAATTCGTCATCTAACTATGTCTTTAGCTGCTCAAAACCACCGTTCTTTGGAGGAGATTGTTCAGGCTGGTACTTGGACATCTCTCAATACATTTGTCTGCATAACGTAGCTGTGTCTTCCTTGGGCAGGTATTGTCTTCCTCCTGTGGCATTTCTATTCGCCTTTGACTGGGGTAAGTCAAATATTATTATTTTTTATCTTATTTCTTTGATATGCATCATATTTCATATCCTACCTTGTGGCAGGTGTTGTCCGGTCAGGTATGCTTATTATTATATTAGCACTAAATTTGTATACTTCTATAATGCTCAATGTTGAGATGGGATGTTTCTGTAAGACCACCAGCCACTCATCTTTTGGTACATGTATATCTATTTTTTTTTCACTGTTTCGTATATAAAGGACTATCACTCATAGACTTCATGAGTAAAATGGATGGGTATTTTTAACCATTCCTATCTGACACATGATTCTTACAATATCAAACTTCATAGCTTATATGTACTCGGTGAGGAGAGGGCTATCATCATTATACTTATTGTTTATACACTAACATAATATTCTGAATCCAAGGTGCTTCCTCCAGATGTTTTTGCCCGGGCTGATCGCACTTGTTGATCACAAAATAAATTTTTTATGCAAGATGCTTCCAGTGGATGATTTGTGCCTAGATGGACAGCACTTGACATAATAGTATCCCAAGGTGTTTCTCCTGGATTTTTTTGCCCAGGCAGACCATACTTGGCCTAATCCTATTTAACCAAGGCGCTTCCCCCCTGGGTTTTGCCAGGGTGAACCACACTTGTTGATTTCTGTATCTTATGCAGAGCGGTTCCACTGTATGTTTTCTGCCCAGATGGACCACAATTGGCATAATTCGACGTATCCCAAGGTGCTTCTTCTGGATGTTTTTACCCAGGTGGACTGCTTTGTTGATCTTACCAACTTATGCAAGGTGCTTCCACTGGATGTTTTTGCTTGGATAGATCACACTTGGCATAATCTGACATATACCAAGGTGCTTTCCCTGGATGTTTTTGCCAAGGCAGACTACACTTGGCCTATTCATATACAATTTATGGTCCTTTAGCCTCAGCCACATGTACTTATCACATTATCAGGTACCTTACTATGACTTGACTAACTATCACTATGTCCCATGCTGATGCTTGCTACATATGTGGATGAATTATGCACTCTGTTGCTGATGGGCTGATTCTGAATGACCCGACAATTTTTCATCAAACTACTTATTCAATGTGCTTCCCCTATTTTTTTGTATTTTTACGAGGAGGATTTTTCTTGTTGCTCACAATATCCTGGACATGGCATTTCCACTGGATGTTTTGCCCTGTTGGACAGCAATTGTCTTGCTCCGGTGTGCACCAAGACTACCCTTAGCACATTTATTTGGACGTGTTGTTAATTACATACTAGATATAGTTATACGGCACTTCTCCAGAGAATGGTGCTGTACCTGTCTTTCTTGAGGCTATGGTGCCTGCCTATTACATTCTGCCCTATTTGTATTACTGTGTTCGTTAAAGGGTGAAGATCACACCTGTTCCAGAAGTAGTGCTATTCTACATTGGTGTGCCTTCTTTTCTTATTATGGCACACCTTTTCTTTCAAGGTTGTTGCTCTCTGAATACTGTCGAGCCTTCACTGGCCCCCTCCACCTTTGTAATGTGGAATTCTAGTTATGGGTGGGAGGAGGTAGTACCATTTCGGAAGTTAGCATTTTCTTATGCTGAAAATGTATTTCTGATAGGTACTTATCTCCTTTCACCCACTTCCCACTGATATGCCAGTGTTTCTAGTTTGTGCCTGCCAATTCTCAAAGGTGAGGATTGTGCAAGAATAATAGAGGGTGCTATCTGTGCTAGTATAGATGGTGCAGTATGATTGGTGGAGGGTAATCACATGATCAGCATGTTTTGAAATAGTGCAAAAATGAAGGGGTATAAAAGACTGGTGTGTTGTTAGAAAAAATTTTTTAACAAAGATTACAGGGTAAAGAAGGATCAAGATAGCTTTGGATGAGGGGAGGTAATTACTTTTTGGAAAAACATTTTCAGTATAAAAAATGTTAACATCTTGTGACTCATGCATACACACAAAAAGTTTACTCAAATATTATAATATTTTTAACTCTATTCCATTAGCCAGGCACAGACAGTGGTTGTACAGCAGTTGTAGCTGTCATCAAAGGCAAAGAGATGTACATAGCTAATGCTGGTGATTCTCGATGTGTTGTCTCTCGCAATGGTAAAGCAGTTGATTTATCTTTCGATCATAAACCAGAAGATGAACCTGAGAGGAACAGAATAGAAATGGCAGGTGGACATGTAACACCTGATGGCAGAGTAAATGGTGGCTTAAACCTTTCTAGAGCTATTGGTGAGTTTTTTGTTTGTTTGTTTTTTATTATAAAAATATTGAATTTCTGTCATTTTGAAGTGAAGTATTAGTAAGCGGGCTCACCAAATTGTGCTGCTAGCTCATTAGGTTGGCAGTGAAAGTTTAATTTAGAGCTAAAGTTTATAGCAATTTTAAATATTACAATACAGCTAACCTATTTGTAATATTTATTGTATTGCAATTTACCAATCAAAATTACATGAAATGTCTTTTTAGTGTTTTGCAATTTTTTAAAGAACATAAAATGGTAGTTTTATTTGTTGGAGATACAATATAAAAAGAAAATTGTAATTTACATGATCTGAGTAGCTAACATGTTTGATTTACATAAGCACAACAGTTTAGTACATGAAACACACCAGATACATGATTTAAAAACATTGAAGAATATCAGAAGTATTGTTAACAGGTAAAGCTGAAGTTAAAGAAGCAATATGTTGTTAAAGAAGGCAAATGAATGTTATTATTAAGACTTAGCAGGTTGTTAAACATAGATGCATTTATAAAGTCAATTGGTGAGTTACATATACATCAAGAACACTAAGCTTATGTTCGATGACGAGGAATCCACTTTGAGACTAATAATGCTTGGAGACGGCTTGAATGGGTAATGGAATGGGTAATGAAGAAAAACTTTAATATAAGTTTAACATAACAGCAAATGTACAACGTTTTGACAAGATTTTGTCATCATCAGGTACTCGATGTAGGGACATCTTCCAAGGAATGTAAATAGTAAGTTTCGATTTGACAGGAAAACTTTGAAAGATAAATGCTTATAATTCTTCAAAATAAAAGAAGATATCTTTTGTAAATGTTAAATTTTATATAATTTGTTAACATTTGCCATATCAATGTACTTTTATAAGTACGTGAATAAAAAATCAAAACATTGTAGCTGAATGTTCTTTTGATATAGGTGATCATGCCTACAAACAGGTGACTAATCTGTCAGCCAAAGAACAGATGATTTCGGCTCTTCCAGATATACAGACCTTAACTATTGATCCTGAGCAAGATGAGTTTATGGTTTTAGCTTGTGATGGAATATGGTTAGTGTAATTTATGTGTATTCAAAGTATTTTAGGATCTGATATTATTGTGGTGGTGTTGTGTATGTATGTGTAAATATTGCTGTTAAATTACTAAAACTTTTCAGGCTAAGAAACAGTGTTAGTATGAGGCTAGCTATTATGAACATGAAGTTTTTTACTTTTTTAGCCTGTCATAATTTATGTTCATGTTCTGAACTCTGTCACAACTGATAAGCACCTTTCAGGTATCAAGTGCACACCTGCACATCAAATTTCTATCTATTTCAACTTAATTTCTGTTTCTTGTTTTTCACATTATTTTCAAATCACAGTTATAGAAATTATTTTAGTTTCCTTGGAAGTTTTTTCCTTTTTTTTTAACCAGGTAAGTTAGGTTTGGCAAGTATGGTAAATAATAGCAAGCTATTTGTATGACACAAAGAAAATAATTTACATTTATATAAAATAAACTATATTTATATGATTGAAATTGATCTTGAACAAGAATAGTGTTAAAATTTATCATGCAACACCTGGTAAAGGTTACACCCTTTTGATAAGTGAGGTCCCAAATTACCAATAAATCTTTGGCAGTTTTGGCATGTTTTTATGATTTATAGTTGAAAGTGATGACTGTTTTAATCAGGAAAATAAAGTAATAAGAAAAATATATATATAAATGAATATCAACCAAGTTGATAGTGACTGACTATATAAAATGGAGTTTTCCAATCAATATTAAAAAAAATTAAATTTTAAGATGAAAGAAAGTACTTTTGTTGTTTCTTCAATGTGGTATCTCAAAGCAAAATTTTGGAGATTTTACAGTTCAAAAAGTGATAAAAAATACTCAATTAAGTTGTATGAATTTGTGAAGAGAGACTGGATACTGTTTAAAAAGATTGTGCTAATTTTTCCGCAATTTGATAATGTATTTTCACAGTGAGAAGGAAAACTATCGGTGACACCCATCATGTCCAGAAAGAGTTAAGAAAGAAGTAATTATACATACAGTAGAACCTCAATTAATGGGCAGACATTTTCAGTTTCTTTCTTTTTTCTACTATTTGTAACTAAAATGAATTTGGAATAATGGGCACCTCGGTATTTTGAATTAAGGGCGGTGTCTTTAATCTCGTTCTCTCTACGGGCAGTTATTTTTGTATGCCCGTACAGTATACTGCTAAATTCCAAACATCCCAGAAGGATGACCAATATGCAAACACTTACGATGTTTATTGGATTGACTGTGAACCATATACTGTAATAAACATTTTAACAGATTCAAAGAGCATTCTTATTACACTGGTAAATTCTCATTGTAAACACTATAGGATGCATAAGCTGATAAATTTCACATCATGTTCTTAGAGCAGGGGTCAAGTCAGCTTATTTCGGTGCACATGCTTTGTTGCTCTCGAGAATATATATTACGGTGTCACATAAACAGTCTGATGACACAAGTGGTGACTGGTTGCTTTATATTCTGTGGATTTCTACTTCAGTCAGTGACAGTAAAATAAACAAAGAAAATATATGTGAAATTTTTAGCAGTTTAAACTCTGAAGAGAAGTACTTTGAAACTTTATGACCAGTAATAAAGAAAAAAGGGCACAGCTAATCCATGCCCTGAGCCATGTTGACAATGCTGCATGTCATTACAACATGCAACTCACGAACACCTGTGAACTGCATACACCAAACAAAATGGGGGTCTTAAAATTCAGAAATTTAGTACAGTGAATATGGAATCCAGCTTTGCATGGCTTATTTTTTATATTAAGGGCACCTTGTTATAGAGGGCATCAGGATGCAGTAGAAAGGGTACCCTTAATGTTGAGGTTCTACTGTATATAATAATGTAAACCTATACTTTGGGATAAGTTGCAATATGAATGTTACTGAATATTTGAGACGATTTTATTTTTTTTGCTTTGATGAATCACTTGGAAGAAAACACCAGGTAAATGACATTAAGAAACTTAGAAAAATATTTGGCCTTAATCTTTGATAAGGAGCCTAATTATGATAACAGAGTGTAAACCTTAGATCAATAAACAATGTTGATCACATATCCATATTTGCAATTTAATCCAATCTTGTAAATTGGTAATGTGGGGTTATTAAAGCTTGTTTTTATCTGACTGAGATCAAATCTATCTTGTCTGAAAGATGCATTTGGACTTTGCTTTTTACTTATACTTCCTGATGTACAGAGACACAAGTTCAAATATGTCCACAGCTGATTACATTTTGGCTTTCCACTGGTGACTGTTACAGTGAGGTTATCTTATATAGGTTCTAGGATCTCAGTAAAATATGATAGGACTATACCTGTATCATATTTAATAGATGACTAAGCTTCAACAGTTTCCTTGTCTTGAACCTACTACCTTGTATTCGTTTGAAAAGATTGTATTCATATCACATTGACATAATACTGTAAGACTATTGTATAATCACACAGAAAATAACAGTGACTAATTCCATATTCTTGTTAATTCAACTGGACTGTTCAATTGCACACTTGATTACATAATCATGTTTTTAGTTCAGGCATGTTGAAATTATAGGTTTCTTTTTAATTGTTTAGGTAAATTTGAATCATAGATCTTTTTTGAATTGTACAAGTAAGATCAAATTATTGACCTTTCTTAATTATTCTGGCAAGTTGGAATCATCCCCTTTTTTAATTGTACATGAAAGTAGAAATAATTAGGTCATAAGTTGTTATTCGAATGTTCAAGTTTAGGTTTTGTTCATTTACTTTTATTTGCACTTGTAAATTATAATTTTTAAAGATCAAAATAAGTTGGAATTATTGTTAAACTTTTTGATTGAATAAATTAATTAGGATCACTGGCCCTTGTAACTCAACAAACAAGTTGGAATACTTGGTTTTTATCTTTTATTGTACAATTTTATCAAATAATTTTTAAAAAAATTTCATTGTGAGGTAATTTGAAATTATAAGGGAGCTGCATATAGTTTTAATCAGTGTGGATAAATTATTCTTTGTTACATTTTTATTTTTTAAACTTGGTATGGTAAATAACAAACAACAAACTGTAAAAAAAAATGTTTTGTTTTATGTGAAACTTTCAATGGTACTTTATATTTTTAAACTAGGAATTTCATGTCTAGCCAAGAAGTGGTTGATTTTATTAATGAAAGACTTACACCAGAAAAGCAACTATCGAAGATTTGTGAAGAGGTAGGTTATGTCTCTTATCAGTAAAGATTCGGTTTCAAATATTCTGCAGACAAATTTTCTTTACAGTCAAAATTAGAATTTTACATTGATTTTTTTTAATAACTTCTAGCAAAAATTATATGCCCCATCATATGCCACAACCATTTTTAACATTTAATTTGGCTTTTATACATTAGCCATTAGTTTTTAAGCAAACTTTACATCAAACTAACTTTCTGTAAGTTAACATGGTAGATAAAATTCTGTTAATTTGACACCTTATGATAAATGTTTTTATATTGTTGGCTGCTTATCTTGTAGTGTTTCATGTTAACCCCTGAATATAGAAGACTTTATATTAATCTTCAATTTCAATCACAACTAGATTTAAATGAGTTATTTGCCTTTGAGACAGAAGTATAATAATACTGAAGAACAAGATACGTTAATAGAGATTCAACTTGCGCCACATATTTGTAGGTGTAGCTGAAAAGAATTTAAAGTACAACATATTAAGTAAGGTTAAATTATATAATTTAAGATTAACATACATCATTCCATACCCAGTATGTGCTGGACTACGTTGATGTGTTTTCAAGGTGAAGGGTAAAAATCAGCAACTTCTTTCATTTGACTGGATGTTTTCTAATTCCTCTGTGTGCTGTAAATCTAGGCCTAACATCTATCTCTCAGATACTTTATCAATGAAATGATGTTAGATGAAACAATGATTAAACAGAACTATACTGTATCTTTGGGCCTAATTAAGATGCTTTCAAGAAAAACCATATATGTTATTACATTAAACAAATATAATATATGAAAATCTCAAGTTAGAAAAAAAAAAGTGGAATTTAAGCAAAAACATGCTCGTAAAATGTGCAAGTAGGAAATAAAAAATGACATCATATACTGCACTAAATGCACAAGAACAAAAGTGAAAAATCCAAAAATTATAATAGACATAATTGCCATTAGAAAGTGTATTCTCTAGAATAATCATCTGTTGTAAGTAAAATTACTACATGATTGTTTCCCACAGTGTACTCGTTTTGTGAAATTAAACAAATACTGAATCTAATACAAAATTGTTAAAAGATGGCTCTCAGTATTTTAAGTATTATATCTGAGCATGAAAAAAATGCATCTTGTTTTAACCCTGCGCTAATCTTCCGGGGTCGTCACAGACCCCAAATATTTTGTAAAATTGATGCCGACAGATGGACGCATGTACATGTTTATTGTTCTCAGTAGCTTCAGTATTTAGCTAACTTGTGTTAAATTGTTACACTTAGTTTGGGTGGTAAAAAAGATACAAATTGTAATATTCAATGTTCATTTATGGATTAATAAAGGAAAATATTTTTAATTGTTAGTGTTTTTTTTTCCAAAAATAATCGTTTTATTATTTAAATATTTTTAAATTAATTTTTTATGATGGGGGTCTGTTAAGACCCCAGAAGAGTGACTATAGAAAATTTGTACAGAAGACTAAAGCAAGGTTAAGTATTGATACATTACATTTGTAAGACCAGAAAACAGAATAAGAGAAAGTTGAATTTGAAATTATTTATGTAAAGTTCATATAAAAGAAGTATTTTTGCCTTTGAACATAAAACAATATGTAAAAGGTAAACATTTTTCTTTTCCAACAGTTTGAGAAAAGTATCAGGTTTTTCTTTATTTTTATATTTGTAAATGTGGAATTAAAAAAAAAAAACAGTGGTGCATCATACAATTGAAATGGAAACTAGAATTCTTTTTCCCCCATGTCAAGGATTAACCAAATGTGCACGGGTTTGGCCCAATGGACTGACTCTGTATTGGAAAAGGAATATTGACTACAATTCTGAATTTACTATGTGTATCTGCACAAAATGTGGCAAACTTTGAATAAAACGTAAAAGTCTGTTGTACCTAAAAAAATTGTTAAAAGTATCTGTACTCAAGATACGTTTATGAATTGATGATGTCAGTTTGATTCAGAATTTGACAACTTAGAGTGCAAGATAATGTTGATGTGAAAAATAAAAATAATTTTGGCCACTGTGCAGTTTGCATATTGCATAACCCCGAAAATCAGGATGGCAAATTGGTGGCACGCGAAATTTTATTGGCATGTTAAAAACTTAGTGATAGTGAAAGAAAGTTTTTGAAAAAAATAATGAAAACTGATATAAGAATCTTTCAACAAATTACAGGCTAAACATTAAAGAACGTTTATCAAAAATTATCCAAAAAAGATCAAACAAAATAAAAAAAATAGTATTTATAAGTATACATGTAACACTGTATCTCTAAAAATTAATAAAATATGTGTATATATATATATATATATATGGCACACTTGAAACTATGTAACAACACTTATTTTATTTTGGCGTGCCATTTAAAATTTATTTTATATCCCTATTCTAGACTCCAAAATGCATATGTACAGTTTTTTTCAGTACCTCTGTATATTGTATCTAGTATTTACTCTTTTCTACCACAAACTATTTCTAAAGCAGCAGTGTAGGGTAAAATTAATAGTAGATAACTTTGATATCAAATACATAATACTAGTTGAATGGCACTCTGTAAAAGGTTGTGGCATGTGCACTTTCCCTCCCACCCATGCACATAGGGTTACACCTTTATTTTTTTAAGGATTATGACATTTATAAATTGAATTTGCTATAGATAAATTAATGACTACTGTCATCCAAAACATTATTAATTAAAACAAACATTATTTCAATATGATGTTTCTTGTAATTACAGCTATTTGATCACTGCCTTGCACCAGATACAATGGGAGATGGAACAGGTTGTGACAACATGACATGTATTATTGTCAAGTTTCACAGTCTTATTTCACCCATGTTGTCATTATGCAACAAGAGAAAAGCCACTCAAAATGATGACCTAAAGGAAGATGCAGAGCAAAAGACAAAGAAAGCAAAAGTAGATGTTTCATCATAAATATTTTTCCTTTTATAATTAATTCACATATTTTAATACAAAAATTTAAGTTTGTCTTGTTTAACTACATACTCATGACTTCTCAGAGCACTTCTGGAAATGCTGAAACTAAGCATTATGTTCAGTATTTATATATAAGCAAAAAAAAAGTATTTATTCTAAAAAATGAATGAATTACTTTAAAAAAACCCATCTCATTTCACATTGGTAATTCACCCAATGTATTCCATTTTCATTCAAATTAACTCACCTGTACATAGGCAGAGCTCAGTTGCATTTTCTTAGAAAAAATTTGTTATAGGCATAATTTTCATAGGTTTTAGGAATTTTGAAGGATGAAAAGAATACTTGGGTTTGGTAAAAATGAACAATACAATTAAAAACTACTTTTTTAGTCAGATGCAAAAACCGGATGTATTTTTTTCTTCTGATTGAATGTTTTTTTCTTGTTGAAGTTTATTGTATATATAAACTGCACAACAGTGTATATTATTAAAGTTGATTTGGTACTACCATGTTATAATAATGGGGTGGTATTTTTAAGTAAAATAATATGCACTTATTTTTTTAATCGGCAGTGCAGAACTAATTTCAGTTGGCTAAATTTAGCATTATTATATAAACAATGTTAAAATATTTCAATTTATATTTTTTAGCTTTTGAAATTTAAAAAAATTAATAAATCAGAAATTAAAACTGTAAGAATAGTATTTTTCCCATAGGTGAATAAAAAAAAACATACTTGTATCTGTATTCATAAACTTCCTCCAGCACTGTTCATGGGAAACATTTGTTTATAATAAACTACTTCTTAATAGATGCTCTTGTGTTTGTTTTTAACTGTAAAAGCTACATTCCCGATACTTAATGAAAATCTAACATTGAATAATAACAGATTGCAACAAAGCAAACTGTTATTTTTATATATATATATATATTTTTTTTTACTTAGTATGGTCCAGGTGTTGATTAGTTGTTAATATGCCAGGGTGGGGATAGCACTCAAAGGCTGAGGCTGTGATTCTGCTCAATACTTCATACTGTTGGGTTTGGGTCACTTATGAAAATTTGTTTTGTTACTTGATACAAAGAATCATGCAATGCATAACTAGTTCAAAATTAGAGTTGGCTGTACCTGTAGAAAGTTCTTATCTAATGATTTATATTATGTGTTGTATAAGATGCTAGTCATGTTTAAAAATTCCAATCTTTGGAAAAATGTTTGAAATACTGTTAGTTGCCAAAATAATAAAATAAAATATGATCTTTCAAACTTCTGGCATTATAGTAGGAGCTAGTGATGAAAACTAAGCTGTAAGTGCTGATTATCCACATAGACTTGGTGAGTTTTTTTATATGAATTATATTGTTGTAGAACTCCCAAATGGTGGAAGATCATAAAAGGGAAAATAATTATCCCAAATATTGGTAGAGTCAAAATGCTATGGCAAATGCCCTTAAATATGGAACAATAATGTTATACATTGAAGACAGTCCAGTACTTTTGTGTAGCATTACTTTTAACAAGAGGACTATATTTAAGTTATTCAGACCTGATGAGCTATTTTTCATGATTAAACATGAAATATCAGTTGCAGCTGTCTGGTTTATTAACATCTAATATTATCTACAAGCTGAGATACCTGTCCTATATCCAGGTTATGAAACTTAAAAAAAAAAAAAAAAGTAGTGGGGGGGTGCTATGGTGAATAATTAAAAAATACTAACTTTCACACAATTTATTTATAACATAACATATTACAGTATTCATTATTACCTCACCAAAAGTTTTGTATAAGCTTTAAGAACTCTCTATGTATATACTTAAAAAATGTATACACTGTGTTATGAAGAGGTAGCAGTCACAGTAATGGTGCTTTTTGTTATCCACTTTCCACACCCACCTCTTAACATCCTTATACACTGTTTCATGTTATTAAATAATTGATGGTCATTGGCTGCAGAAGTATCGTGATGGGATGAAGTTGTAAGGTCAGAGTAGGAAGTGAGTATAACTCAAGAAAGGGATGAAGTTGATATAAACACTGATACGAGGAGCTGAGTTTAAGTATTATTGCAATAGTGGTGGCCATTTTTTTTTTCTCATTGAACTCCTACATAGAGAGTGCGAGAACACACACTGAGATATATAATGAAGTTTGTGTGCCCTCTCCCACAGTGTGTGTTTTTTTATTCTTATAGAAAAGCTACATCAAGCTATCTGCTGTGTCCATCGAGGGGAATCGAACCCCTGACTTACCAATGTCACCGATAGGTGGAAAATTGAATAGTTTTTGTTGTAAGAATTTGGTGCTATATATGAATGTAGTTAATGTTAACTTACGTCAAAGATAATAAATGCTCAATAACAGCAATAGTGGGGGTGGAGATTTTTGTGCTTTTATCTGTGCCATTTGTTTTTCATCTGTATCATTAGTGAGTAATTTCATAGTTGAAAAAGAATTATGTACAGTTTCATAAAGAGATTTTAGCTCACCCTTTAGTGACTGTGACATAGTTATAAGGAATTTTCTCTATTGCCTGCAGCATTCCCAGAAAACTCTTAATGGATCTGCTGTAATGACTTAAAGCATCATAATCAGATCAGTGTAATAAAAAAAATTTCATCTATAAAGCTAAAACTACCATTATTGTGTAAGTTTTTTATACTGACTTTTTTGGTGCAAGTATAAAAGAACTCTAATTCCAGTAAAAGGAGCTACAAAATTGTACATGTTTATGATGTGAACAGTAAGGCTAATGTAATTCAGTCATCACATAAACACAAGTTTGATTATTGTTCTGTACTGCATAAAGTAAGGTTTATGGTGATTATAATGGAATAATCTTATTACTAGTAACACATGTGATCTCACCCCCTTAAGTCTCACAGGGCAAGTCATCCATTTTGTGCATACATCATGACACTTCAATAAGCCTGTCTGTTCAAAAGAATGAAAGAACTCTGTAGCCCTTTTCAGAAGAAAGGATGTCTGGTTATAGTTAATCACCACACTAATTCACTATTTGTGGTTGGAAGATTACATTGTTAATCACAATTTTGCCATAGGCCGAACATCTGTACACATTTACAAAATATGCTCAAATTCTCAGAAACAATATCTATTACAGAAGATGTTCAATCTAGATCATTTGCACATGTTAATCAATGCTTAATGCCAAAAAAACAAGAATCTCTGTGTTTAAATTCATTAATGTTATAATGGCAAGTAATTTTTGGGATTCCTGTAGAGAAGCCGGGTTTGGTGGTCAAGTAATCTTACAAACCTTTAACACAAGTTAAATGTACATAACTAGTCATTTTGTAGTGTTCTTATATGTTGTATTTTTTTTAACTGCTTCCAGACGATACATAAGCTCAAAAAACAGTTATGTGGAGGAAGTTGTGTATTCACTATAAAACCTTAAACAACTTGTATGTTGGCCTGTTAAGAATAATTGCAGAAAACTAAACAAATCTGCACTAGAAGGAAGCTATTATAATAGAATAATGAGATTTGCTCATGGTCTCACATTTGATGGAGTCCTTTTTTACATATTCAATTCCTTCCCTTTACTGTTTTACTTCTTCCTATGCCTAATGCTGCTAAACACTGTATTGACAATATATCTGGGTAATTTCAGTTAGTTTTTAAATGTAATAAACCAATTTTAAAGCTGCTCCAACAGAATACAACTTAGTAAAACTGCCATCTTGTTTCGATCTATACAGTCACACATTACTTATTTTATAGATATTGTATTCTATTTTTTGTTTGGGGGAAAAGGGGGAGCTCAAAATTAGAAACTGGGTTGCAACTCTATAGTCCCTGCATTAATCCAGTCCTGACCATGGCTCCAAAATGAGCAGCAAGAGTTTGAGGCAACTAAACCATGTACTCTCCAATCTGAAATCCTGCATACTCACCTCCCAGGACTTTAGATTTGTGTATTTAGTGTACAATATGCTTTGATTAATAATTAGTACACAGAAGTATATTACACAGAGAAATCACCAAACTCTTGCACTTGTGTAATTTTAACACATGAAAAAGGTCTCTGTAAGACTATAGAAGATTCCTCACATACATTAGGGATGGAAAATTAAAAAATATTTGAATCATTTAATGGCATTTATGTATTTACATCTAAAAAACTTAGATATAATGATATATATCTAATGTAATTTTTTTTTGGGGGGGGGGTCTCAATTCTTAAAGCTTTAGGTTGAGAACATATAAACATTGCATAGTTCTTTACATGTATTTCCTTTAAAATAATGGATATATTAATTTAACTGATGAATATACAGACAATAGATGGATAGGCACATTAAATATAATTTTACTACAAAAGAAAAAAAAATCTGTGGTGACAAAATTATTTTTTCAAACGTTTAACACTTGCCAAATTAATTCAACTGTAAACTTTACAGTAAAAATACAAAACAAGCAATTTTAAAATATTGAACTTTAATAGCATAATACCACTCTTGCATTTAAACAATTACAAGTGGAAATAAATTAGCATTTTCAATGCTTAAAATAAAGATTAGCATGAACTTTGGTTTCAAAAATGTACAGGCTTTAAATGTAAAGGACTCTTGCAGTCTGTATGAACTAGCCCTACAATATTAAACGTGAATTACAAGCTTGCTTAGAGTAGCTTATATTTATATAAAGTAATTTTCTAACAATATTTAATAAATAATCACTTTCATAACCAAGTCGGCCTGTTCAATCAAATCATAGCCCTTACATGTAGGTTCATTTAAATCATATAATGCATAATTTTTTATAGGGTAGTTTGGGCTACATGATCAAAAATGCACACTTTCATCCAAACAGCTATAGCTTGTATCATAAACCACTTCCTGGTACAAAAAATTTTAAATAAAACTAGTAGAGTTAATAATACAGGTGACTCTGTTGCTGTACATTTTTAATGATAAGCAAACAGAATTGCATATAAATACTTAAAGAGTAAAAGAAGTTAAAGAAATTTCAAAAGTTAAAATAAAATGCAAGATGTCTGTACTAAAATCTACCAAACGGTCTTGATTGTCTTTCACTGCAAGGGCACATATATGGGGCACACTAAATAAACTTAAAAAGTGATATTAAGTAAATGTTTTGTGAAATATGAATGCAATAAAATCAGTAATTTTGCACATACGTGCATAGTAACTTTGCTCAAAACACAATCTGAGAACATAATGATCTATGAAATATTTCAGGCAATTAGATACAAAAAAAAATACATGTTGATGAGATAAGTAATTATATAACATTGTTTCCATGTGTGTGTGTGTATCTAAAAGTAAACCTGGAAATGTGAAAGTTATTGATAAATGTAGAAGTAAAAAGAGTTAACTGTGTTCTTAATAAAATTATTTTTTAGTTCATATAAACTACCAGGAGATCATGGAATTCAACTGAAGAATGTCATTATTTAAAACAACTCTGTTAACCAACTAGTTATTGCTTTAGTTCATTAAACCCCATATCTGATGGCACATGAATTGTTTATTATGTGAGAGAATAATATAAAATTAATTTCTTCACAACGATAGGTGAACTTTCCTTTCATATTATACTATTTCTTGATGGAATACAACTAAAACCTTTCCATGCATTTTTTCTTTAATTAGTTTCATATCAACTACGCAATGTTTATGTTTGAAATTGATGGAGTGTTGCTACACAAAATTACTACTTCCATGCTGTGAGTGAAGAGTTCAAACATTGTCTAGGATTTTGTTAATAAACATGTGTGTCATTTTCAAGCTGACAAATGTTCAATTTTGTATGTACTTAAAAACTATTACTAAAAATGTATTAATTCTGGAAAGTTGTTCAACCTCAGAAGAAAGATTATAATAAACTATGGAAATATCCTTACATTTTAATATTTTAAATCTTGATTTATTCATCATAAAATAAAAAAATCAAGTCATGTTCAAGCAATTAACTTGCATCTTTAAACAATGATAAAAATTTACAATTTAACTCGTGAATTCTTCTGAAAAAATATGCCTAACTTAATGTTTCATTTTGCACATTATTTTATTTGCCTTCATGTGTGTGTGTGTGTGTGTGTACACATACACACACATGCATGTTGTTAATGGCAGTATTTGAATTTTTACATATTACAAAAGCAACTATAACTTTTTCCCAGTATTTCTTGATGCTAATTCTCAAAGACATTAGTGTATGCAATCATAAACACACTATTTTTAAATAGTAATTTATATTAAAATTTCACAACATGCTATACCACGGTACATCTGGTGCTTGTCAAACTTTATCTTAACAGTAAGCAGGGTAATATATAATTTAGTAGTACAGAAATATAAAGGATGGAGAAGCTGACACATAATTATAGTTTTTTTTTGTTTACTAACAGTTGATAATAGAATACTGTACAATAATACTATTGATATTGGCAGGAAACTATACCATCTTGTCAGGGTTGTCTTCCTGCGAATGGAAAAGTTGACCCAAGCTTCAATAAAACTCACACTAACTGAAATTTAAGCCACCTCTAAGACGGATTTGCTGGAGTACAGAAAACGACATGATGTGTTGTCTTGTGCTATGTGGATGCTTCATTGTCTCCACACCACAACAAGTACAGTTTTCTTTCAAAGTTTTAAACAATAACTGGAAGTACATGTCACTCATCACACCATACCTGCCAGACTGCCTAGATAACTAATCTGTATAAATAAAAATTCTAAATCAATAAAAACATTTCAAAAAACAAATTACATATTTCATTTTGAAGCACTAGGGTATTTAAAATAAAAACTATTTTCAACTTATTATAATTTTAATGTACACTAGCCTGATGATATGTATGTGACAAAAAGATGTACTTATTACCTAACTTACTTAACACTTCAAATTTAGATATCTAGTAGGCTGGGATAATTAATGAAAATCGTTAGTTGAATAGATGACAACTGAATGCGCTCACTGATTTAATTACACCAAATTCCATACTTAACTAATAAATGCTTTTACTTGCAAACAAATACATGCAACTGGTAACGCAGAAACTTTCAACCTAAACACTAAGTCTTAGACACTGTAAAAAAAAAAGGTAAAATTCATTAGATATTGGGCAGTGCAGGTCCTGCTTGGGTTCACCTATGTCCATAGCTTTAGTTTCATGCTTAATCTGAACTAAGTTTTGAACTTTGATTGCTGCAACAAGGTTTGGAAGAATACCCTGTTTTGGCTTAAGGTAGTTGTGCAGGAACAAGAGTTCATCCAATGTGTGCTGCTATGTCCTTTGCAGTGGTGTGGCCCATGGCTGAAAAAAAGTCTCTCAGGTGGCATAGAGGTTGATGGCCAGCACAGTAATGTTTGGAAACCTGTGGTGTTTGTGTTTCCACCAGTACATGGCATTCTCTTTGAATCCTAGTTCTGCTATGTAATGAAACACTTCTGAAGTGCTGTCACTGTGAAGCACTGCTGCCAATATCTAATCAAGTTCCTCCACTGTTCCCATACTGAATCATCTTCTCATTGAAACTGTATATTTATCCTTGAAGTTTGTCAGTGGTTCTGAATTTTCTGCTTGCACTGATCATGGGGTAGACACAACCAAAAGTAGGGTAAAGTTATGCACCCATCTGTGCAATAGCAAAATCAAATGGCTTTAAGACCTTGCAGAAATCTTCAGCAGTTGTCCAGACATGTTCTGGAACCTCCAGTTTTCTTGCAGTGTCAGGCTTTGTGATAGATTTGTCATAAAGAACAGCATATATGGCTAGTCTGTTGGGCAATAGACTTTTCATCATGAAGCAATTGCTATTCCAATGGGTAGCAGCATCTTGTTGGAGTATAAGTTCAAGATCTCTTTCCCTCCTCATTGCAACTTGTCACTTCTGGAGCTCTCCTGTAGCCAAAGGCAAATTATGGAAGTTTGTAACAAGATTTTTTACATGCATGTACACATTCTTTGATGTCATCATGAACCATTCCTTCTCTTATGGTAAGCTGTAGTGTATGCCCAAAACAGACTATCACATAGCTTCTTCCATATGTGAAGCATTATAATGTGTAAACTGTGCTATCTCTTTGGTCTGAAACTTCTGGTGTAGACTGTATTCTGATTGCTGTGTTCTTTCCTGTGTGGCATTCCAGCACGTGTCTGGTAGCTAACACTCCCCTTCTCATGTTCCAGTCTTCATCAATAAAGTAGCAGGTAACAATGATGTATCACTGGTTCACATGGCTTGATCAGATGTCAGTTGTAGTGCAACATTTTGTATTTAAGTATGGACTTAACTTCCTCTTTTTTCTCTTGATACTCAAGGCTGAGGTACTTCCTCACTGTTTAATAGAATGGCAGGTCATATCTTTCATCCAAAGCTTTGCTCTACGAAATTAATCCCTGCCCCTCACCAATGGACAGAGGTCATATGTTTACCACACACACACACACATTTGGACCCGCTTCTTGGTGATATATATATGTAGCAATCTCTAGACAGCAGCAAGTCACATCCAGAGATTTGCTGCAGGTGTCCTGAGGATACAAAAAGACCTTTTTTAAATTTCCCTATTGCTCCATTATAAGTCAAAAATATAATTAAATTTTCATTTAACACACGTGTCAAATTAAGTATACTATAGTAACGGCAAGTTTTAAACATTCTTCATTTTTATCTTCGATAACTTGCTGTCTACACTTTACTTTGAGGCCATTAGTTTATATTGGGTAAACCTATTTCAAGAACAGTTATAATTATGTACAAACCTTTTTCAGAACTTGTAATGGGTTCAATCTCACTGTATTCAGCAGTATGCTTTGACTGAGGATGGTTTTTCATGATTGATGTATTGCATGATAAGCGAAGTAAACTTGTCTGGGTACAGTAAACAAAACACTTTCTTATTCTTTGTAAATTCATCTTCCTTAAGTTCAAAATACTCCCAATATTTTCCTTTTAGAGACATGTTGACAGAGTATATTGAATAACTGAAGTTGAATTTCGCAGCCATAGCTCCTTTTCTAGAAATAGAAACTTTGGGGAAATGCCTTACTAATAACCTTACCCTTTTCAAGTGAATCCCTAAAATTTCTCTGTTTTTCAAAAACTTAAAACCACTGCCATAAAAATGACCTTTCCCATAATAAGACCAGAGCTCACTGGTGTAAAGTTCAAAATAGCCACTTTTGCTTTATCAACATAACTAATCAATTATGAACTTATGATCAATAGTGTAAATAGTGCTTATTGAAAGTCAAAAGGCATACAAACTCATAAGTATACTTAAAATAAAATTGCAACTTAAAATAACAGATAAACCACATAACCTATGATTTATAACTACTCGGGTGATAACTAGGTGTAGTCGACTATTATGACTAATCATTCCAGCCCTGGTGTCCAGTCTTTCATATGAAATATACTTATATTAAAGTTACTTGCACTCTATTATATTACCAACTTTTTGGAAGTATTTTATTTGGTTTTTCACTTGCTGCAGATTAAAATTTTATTTTGTTTAAAACCATATTAAGCACAAAGCATTTTTGAACCTTTGTGTTGTTCATTTGAAATTTATGGCTATGTAGAAATAATGTAACTAAGGTAATGTTAAAAATGATAATTCAAATCAAGGTTTCCTTATGGCTTTGTCATGTCAAGTTCTGTATGCATAAAAAATTGCACACTTGCATATTGTATTACTAATAAACATACAGTTATACTGGGTAATACGTGTACATGTTGTTATTACAGGATTAAAACATCTGATAACATTTGTTTTTTTTTTTCAAATATCAAAGTAAGTATTAATGGAATTGAGGGGGAAACAAAGACAATTGTATGTTTCACAGAAACTTCATTTATAAATAAATGACGGGCAAAACTATGGTCATTAATAAATGAAGTTTTTGTGAGACATACACTTGTCTTTGTTTTATTCCTCAATTCTGTACTACTGGAATTTCACCAAGTACTGATGGTTTCAAGTAACAATTATATTAGTGGATAAATCTAACTTATAAAAAAATATATGACGGTTCAAAATTAAATACCTTTATAAATCATAAACATAAGGACATCCAATTAAAGTATCCCTAAAATCTATAATACTTACAATCTGAAATTTATTGTTTTAATCTTTTTTTTACAAGCCAATTTTACTATTTTTTTGAAGAATGATGAATATAAAAACTAATTACACAATAATTTATACAATTCTAGTTGAAATTTTTAAGTTTCATCTCATTTTCAGAAACAAAATATTAGGGATATTCAGAAAGAAATGGGATTCTATTTCTTGCAAGTTAATCATGGCAAATTAAAACAACAAGTGTGCATCAACGGTATCAAAAATTTGAGCACCAATACATAAGTTCTCATTTTTGTTCTGAAGTACAATGCATTTCCTCCATTATTCCAAAAGTTTCATAGCATCAGTTAAGTAATATGCAAGCAAGATGTTACAAATCCACTTTGGTAAAACTACTTTAAGAATATTAGTTATGTGGAAGTGCTGTTCAAGCAGACCCTTCTTTATTGTCTGAAAAGCTGGAAATCACATGACAGGGAACAGTTTATCCAAATTTCTTCACTCCAATCAGTACATGGTAAATAATAAAAGCTGGAAATCAGATGATGGGGAATGGTTCATCCAAACTTCTTCACTGAAATCATTACATGGCAACTAATACGAGATATAAAACTTACAGGAGATGTTGGTGTAGTGCGTGTCTGAGCAAGCTTAGTATCACAGTTGCCATTTTGTCGCTGTGCTGCAAGTCACCTATCCTGATAACCTGTGGTTATTCATTAGCTACATTTTATCCATATCCTGCATAAGGGAAAGAAAACCCCATTTCTTTATTAATATCCTTAGTAACTATTTAAATAAATATTTACATGAATAGAACTTCAGTACAAAATGTCACTCAGTTTCAGTCATTTATTACTTTTTTTTTCCAGTCTTAAGAAATTATTTAAAAATAATATATTAGTTATCATTGATAAGGTAGTGTAGATTAATAACATTTGTAATTATGAAAAACAATTAACTGCTCCACTTACCAGTTTTTTTACACAGAAGATATTCTTAAATACTAACTTCTCCAATCCTAAAATTATCCAACTTCAATGCCAGAGGTTGGTAGATAAAGTCTGATCTTGAGGTGACTGAGACCAGGTACCTGTGGTGGGTTGGACAGCTCCCATTCCTGTTGATGGAGTCATACTCATAGGTTGTACACCTAATGCAGGGTTTAAAGGCTGAAGATTACCCATCATACCCCAGGGCTGTCCTCCCAATTGAAGAGATGCCATCTGCTGGTGAAGCTACAGGATTATGCACAATGTAATGTAAAGAATTAATGGTATTCAACATAGACCAAAAATTTGTTCTAACTTCAACATTTTCATAATTTTGTTACAGGAGTTGTTATTATGGTCAGCCACAAAGTTCATACATTTTGAGGACACAAAAGTAATTCATGTCCAGTGCCAAATACTCCTAAAACTCACACTGAGTACATAAAAAGTGAAAATAATCTACCTGGTTGGTAAAAAAATATTGCAGGTCTTCTCAAACTGAATAAAATAACATTTATGTTTCCAAACAGCAAAAAAAAAAAGTGTATTCTTAATGCAAGTCAAGATATTGTATTTTCTTACCATAAATTTATTATTTCATTGTCCCAAATCATTGCATGCACCCGGTTTCTTTTGCTATATTATCTATTAACTTATAGATCACTTGGTTGATTATTTATTCCCTTTACAAAAATATGATACTAATGCAGTTCTGACTGTTTTAAAGATACAAGAAATTTTGTCTCGACAACCAATGTAAAGTCTATTATATCATGTTTAAACTTTAAAAAAGTCATGAGAAGCAACATATTAACTATCATTATACAAAGGTTCTTTTTTGTGAGACTGGTAAAAGTATATCTCTTACATTTGTAAAAATATATATATATATATATATATATACACACATACAAAGCCAATCTTTATTACTGCAACTTGTGAATGAAAAATAAATTCTAAAACATAGCTTCACTTAGGGACAATCTAATGATGCAAAGTTATTCTCCCTCAGAAGAAATTAAAGGGATGAATAAATTTAACTTTCTCTTTTTTTTCCTAACAGGTCCCTGGATCTACTGGATAAGTTGAGTGTTCATCCTGCAAATTTAAGTAAATATTTATTATATTTTTAGAAACCCATCTTCCCATTACGATAAAGCATGAAAGATTAATCATCAGTCAGTAAAATAATTTTACTTAATTGAACAAAAAGACAGTAAGAACAAGTTAAAGCATAACTAAATATATTTTCCTTTACTTACTTCAAGCACCTAAGGTTAAAGACACTTATTAATAATAGCAAATTTTCTATGAAGCAAAGATATGTGAAAAATTTTTTACAAGTTTTTTGAGAAAAACTGAGAAACTGTTTTTCTTTGAAACTTTGAAAAATACTTGATAGAAATAACAAGAAAAGAAATAAACAAGATGGTAAAACAATTACACAGATTAATGCCAATCACAGTACGCAAACACTAGGCCAGATGGTAAGATAACTAAGAAACAACTTGGATATTATTATACCACAGAAAGGATAATAAATTAGATAATAAAGAAGCGAGACACATGTAGTTACATGACTAATGTCATGAAGCCGTGATATGATTGTATCGATACATTGTTCGATATGATACGATTTATGTATCTTCACAAAATTTGGCAAGCTTTCAGTAAACATTACAAGTCTTTTGTACATTAAAAATTAGAATTTCTCATAAAGTATTTCTGCTGTCTTAATTTATTTTATCAAAAACATTACATGCACAGTAACATAGCAAATTAACAACAAAATAGATAAACATATATTAACTTTTTTTATTTTACTTCTCTTGTCAGCTGCCACTTAGTTGATCAAACCTGAGAATTTGAAAAAGCACTGTAAAGTGTGAAGTACTTAAATAAGGCAATGTTAGTAATATAGATAAAAAATTTCAGACAAGACTATCAAACTTTGTAACAAATCATTGGTAAAACTTCTTTATCTATATACCTATTGTATCGACTATGATGAGATATACACCCCTACTGATGTCATAACCAAGAAAGAACATCAGTCCTGATTAAAAGTTAGTTAAAAAATAACTCCTACTGATACTGGAGAAAAAAACAGTACTGCAGACAGTGTGAGGCAGTTAATACTTGTTTAATAGCATACTCCATAATAAAATCATCCTCTTTGACACTAGTGGCTAATGCCTTGCCAGAGAAGGAGCATCACATCAGTGATATAGTTAGTTATTTATATGCAATATATCAGAACACAGGTTGAATGGTAGGTTAAATATCATGGAAATTAGAATTTATCTGGCTAATATGGTATTATAGACAATGACAAAAATATGGTAAGACAGATTCTTCATTATTGCCACAACCCAGAGAAAACAATAAGGGGACTCATACAGTTTTTTGTTTGTGCTATTTATACAATGCAAATTCAATGTTTTAATTTCATACATTAAACACACATCAGGAAAACCATTTTGTAATTTCATCTAGCTACTCAAAATAACGCAAACATTTGTTTAATAACATCTGAAGCTTCTAATATGTTGTAATTTGTTCAAAATTGTTTAGGGGTGTATGATCTCCAAACTGAATTATTTTCAAATAATTTCATATATTTAAAATATTAATTTCAATTATTTAATATTTAAGTCATCCAGTGTGTAAAATTAATATTCTAATACAACATATATACACACTATTATTTAATAGAAAGTGAAAGGTCATGATATACTATGAAACCAAAACTGAAAAGAATAGCCTACTAGCAGACTGCAAACAACTAATTATAATAACACAAGAAAAAAAAATTTCAAATGAGCAAAATGAAGCAAAAACAATGTAGTTTTGTGACTATAACAGGTGAATTTAGAGTATTTAAGAACTGTTTTCAGCTATAAGGCTTTGGTTTATTCTTGATACATACTCTATAATACATGAAATACCATATAGGGTTATAAAGGCCATTCTGAATGACTACCGTGTTATTAGGCTTGTAACTAAGAAGAGAAGAACAAAGCTTTTGAATAGAGAACAACGTGACAGAGTTAATGTGATCATGAGACATTTCATATTAAAACTGTTAAAGGGGAGTTTTTGTTTTTTTTACAAAATACTCAATATTAGAAATTCTGTGCAGTTGATCACTTCAGGCTCCAGAAATGCATCCAATCGACCTGAAAACACTTGTGTTAGCATAATAGTCTTGTTTCCTGTTAAAACTGACTTACTGAAGCGTGTTAATGCATACTTTATTAGTAGTTAGTTATGAGAAGCCATATTTCTCTTCTTTACCTTTTTCAAACTGCAAAGAAATTTTTCTTGCCTCGAATATACCAGATCTCTTAGCAACACAGAGTTTCTCTTAATTCCGAAAATATCTAGTTAACTTTCAACAAGACATTTAGGGTCAGCTAATCTTCTCACAACCTGGTATCCATTCAAATCTCCATGTCTCATACATGTGAAAGCTAAGGTATCATGTCAAATGCGTTTCTGGTCTAATCATCTGTTGGTTCTATAAATATCTTGCAATATATGCTATTGATATGTTGCTGTTGTCAAAAGTGTAAGTTATTATTCTAAGAACCCATGTTTGATTGATAAACCGTAAACTAAAGTTGTTTGTTGAAACAGATAATTCACGAACCCTGGGTATAATTAAAAGGTTTAGTTGACTTAAATATTCATAAAAAAATAAATATCTACAAAATTAGGTGATAATAACTTAAGTATGTTTCTGAGACTCCAGCTGAAAAAAAAGAAGAAAATTCACAATCAAACTATATATGGCATAACTGGGGTTCACTTTACCTGTGCTGTTAAAGTTTAATGATACCAAACAGAGTGATTACAAAGAGAAAGAGGAAGAGAAGTGACCAACCTGGCCAAACCCAGGTGATTCTTGGCCACTGTTAGACAGACCACTACCCCAGGCAGCTCCTCCCTGCTGCCCTACCTCCAGGGAAATGAAAGGATTAGTTGAAGGAACAGTAGGCGTAGACTGCAAATGTAAATAAAGGATACACATACAGATTAATGTATTAAACAAAACAGAAGTTAATGTGTTAGTAAAAAGCTGAGATGTAGAAGTTAAACTATTAATAATACATTCCTGTATATATTAAAATGTTAATAATATATCAACAAAGCACTCAATTGTTAGAATTATACAAATCCCTTCAAAAACAAACAATATTCACATACAGAATTATAATTAGTTGTCCCTCACCGTCAGTAGTATATATCTCTATTACACAAGCACAGCTAAATGATTAAAAGAAACTAATATTTGTAAATACAACTACATTTGTTTTTAGAGGTATAAGGTTATAAAGAAAATATACACAAAATAATTATATCCTTTATATATATGACTTATTCGATTACACCACCATTCCCAATTTGCCCCTGAAGAAGAAAGGTCCACCTTTCAAAAGCGCTCAGGTTATAAGGTTTTTATTCATTTCTATCAAGACTTCTTGAACCAACGTATTTTTCTAACATCATGAACATTTTATTCAAGTCATCAATCTGCTACTGTGGAAAGAAACAGAAGGAAGAAAAATACAAAGCAATGGTAGTTTTCAAGAAAAGTTATTTAGCTAAGGACCATAATGATTTGAAAAATACTGTAACATGCCCAAACTCCTGACTAACAATTTTCGAATCTCTGACATTTTGTTCCCTTAGCACAAGTGCCTGTTAAAGGAATTTAGTGATGCCATGAAGGTCATCCGGTTTTCCAGGAAATGTTTAGTCTATTTCTCTTACTGTTGTATCACAAAGTCTTAGTTTTCTAGAGAATTCATGAAGGTCAGAAAGAAGTTCAGGTTCATTAACATAGCTGTTATTTGGGCAGAAGTTGAGACCTTTACAAAGAAGACTGAGTTCTGCTTCAGAGAGAGTTATTATGTCTGAAAGATTAACAATGTTGGAGATATGTCAGAAGTGTTCATCGTTATCTGTATATTTTATGAAGTCACTGTTATTTTCAACAGATTTGTTAGTTTGAGAAGGCTTATGTGTATTAGAGGATGAAGTGTTTTTAAATGTACTTTTAGGCTGTTCATTGTGAGATAAAGTGATTTTGGTAGTTTCTGGTAGACTGCTTAATGTTATGGTAGTTTCTTTAGGACAAAGAAGAGTGTTCGAAAGAGTGTTGTTAGAAGTGCTTTTTGAATTGGTGTTATTGATAGGAAGCCAATTTTTGTTATTCTTTTTAAGAAAAAATGTATCAGTTCTCTTTGTAAATTTTTGTAGTTCTTTTTCTTCCAGCGAAGGATTGTACAGGTGATAAAAGTGGGAAATTTCTTTATCTAGAATATCAACAGAATTTTTTTTTTCTTTGTAATTAAGTACAAAGCCACACAATGGGCTATCTGTGCTGACAGAATTTATACAGAATGTTTTAGTCATATTCATTTGAATAAAATGTGTTATTATGCAGGATATTGGGAGGATTAATAGACAGATGATGTTTCCATGAGCTTCGTTTAGGGATATGTTTAGTATGCTGATTAAGAATGAGAGAAAGCATACTGAACACCTATGACAGTTTTTGAAACACCACGTACCACATCTAAACTTAATATGACTGTAAAGAAATTTAGTTCTCTCAGGACAAGTAGTATTTTTAGAATAATAATTTTAGTTATGAGGTTTTCTTTACAATCACCTTGTATGAAAAACATGTTAGAGAAATAGCTAATTGGTATAACAAGTATTTTGGAAGGAATATAATAAAACTACATCTTCCGACTATTACTAAAAAAAAACAGAAAAAGTTTATTAAAACTAACATTTTACTTATTTAGATCTTCTTTGAAATAAAAGGTTTGTATTGTCACAAAAACACATTTACAGCCTAACAAACAAATTAGACAATAATAGTAATAATAAAAAAAAAAAAAAAAAAATTATACAATGTATTATTCAAAGCTCACAAAACAAAATGTTATTAAAACAACTCTCATCCATGTTTTCATCAAAACCATATGAGACTTGTTCACCTTTACAGTTAAATCCACCAATTTTCTGTTTGAAAGCGTAAATTATAACCCAGTTGAAGACCTACAAAGTATGGATAATTCTGTAGCTGCAGTACTTGCCAATATATTCATAATAAGAACTGAACATACTGCCATCTAATATCCTCTTTACAAACCAATTTTTGGGTTTGATATGTTGATGACATTTTTACATCTTTCAATAACCTTGACACTGTTTATGACCTTTTCTTTAATATAAACCAGATATACCCAAATATACAATTCACAATTAAAAAATATGATGACAAATTATTGTTCTTTAATATTCTTGTTGAAAAGACAAATACTGGTTTCCAAACCTCAGTATTTCACAAAACTACTCAAACAAATTCCCTTCATGAAGTTAGGTATATTAAGAAACTACTGTTTGTACAAATAAAATCATAAGTTCCAACCTCATCTGTTTCAAAAAAGAAAATGACAACCTTAGATTTCAGTTTTGTGTACAAAATAGCTTCCCTCCCACTGTTGTTAATCAAGTAATTGCTTCCTTTGAAGTTGAGCCTCAAATTGACAAAGAAAACAAATCTTCTAAAGATATTTGTTCACTGTATTTACCTTTGATCCCAAACTAACCCATGCAATAAAAAAAATTAGTTAAAAATAATTAAAATATACAAAATTGACATTAATACACAATATGATAAGAAACTAGGTCAACTTCTATCTGAAAAGCAGACAGACAATAACACTTCAGAAAAAGTTTATTCCACAGACATATACAGATTATAGTTATATTAGAGAGAAAAATACAGCTTTCTACTCATTTACTGGAACATCTAAGATCTGCATCTCACATTTTTGAACACACGTCTAGCAACAGTAAATCTTTTGATTCTTCCAAGATAAAAATCTTTAACAATGAAAATAACAGTAACAGAAAAAATAAAAGAAGCACTGTTAATAAAAAACAAATCCTTAATCTTAACAGCCACAACAGTGTTCCTTTTTATCTATTTTCATTGCTCACTCTCTTGCTTGTATTTATTCAAAACATTTTTGTACTTAAGCTTACCCTTAGCTTTTTCTCGTCTATAATTAACTATTTAACAGTTAAATAATAAAGACTTTATCATATACACAATCACTTAATTACATACTATGTAGGTTCATGATGTTAGGAAAACACGCAGGTTCAAGAAATAAATTTAACACAATAATACAATATTCTATCACCCGAGTGCTTTTGAAATGTGGACATTTCTTCTTCAGGGGCAAATGATTTTCTTATTTTAAATTAACTTCTCTTAGCCTCAGTTCAATATGATGATCCCAGGTAAACCTTGTGAAACACTGACAAAATTAAAATTTTTATTCTGTACATCTCACAAAAAAAAAAAGTGTCTGAAATTAAAAAAAAAACAGAATTCTTTCTAAATTTTGATAAAGTAAAACTGAGATAACATCAAAATTTGAATTAAGCTAAATTTTATGTCAACTTTATTGACATACATTGATAATAAAGTTTTTAAATTTTGATTGTACTGTTAAGGTTTTGACACTCCCATATTTAAAGGGTTAAACAGTAGCATCGAACTTATCAAGAGCAACTAGTGCTAGCCATATGACTGGTCATTCACATTCAAACATAATGTAATCATCATGTGATGTACCATTGGAGGACATTGCTGTCTACTTCCACACACAAAGTGCTACTGTACAAGCATACTCTCCCATGGTCAAATCACGTATATTATTAAAGGAATGATAAAGAATAAAAGTATCTAGAGCAAACATGACTTTCTTGACCACATGTTACGTGGCACACACCTAGAGTAACTGCCTACTTTTGAAAACTCTATCGTAAAACAAGAAGGCAGAAAATTCATGGTATGCCAACATACTACACTCTCACCAATATTTTCATTAACACTTTTACAACAAGTTTGTGTATTTTGCATGACCTTGTAACCAAGAAAGTATATGTACTATAACTCTGAAAGTAAATGAACTTCATGAAATTTAGCAAACTTTCAATAAACATCACAAGTTTTTTGTAGACAAAAAATCAGAAATTTTAATAAAGTATTTTTACTAAACATTTGTCTGTATGGACATACGAAGTCAGAGTGTTGACTGCCAAGTGATTTTCATATTAAGATTAAAAATACTTTTCTTTATCCTAATATTTTCAAATTTCATTTGCATAATCTCTAAAACCTCCTAAATTAATATCAAACTTACTTTTTCACAAACAATTCATATATATATATATATATTTTTTTTTTATCTGTTATTTTCTCTACCATAACTCTGTATGGGGTCAGTTGATTTGACCAACATCATAACCATCATATAAAATTAGGAAATAAATCTAAGTCACCATTTTTTTTCTTTCTAGAATGACTGCAAATTGTAACAGAAAATCTCAGTTGTTTATCCTAAATAGCTTAAAGCTCATTACAATATACATCTATTTATACTTAATTTTATTGTTTTATTGACTTTTGAACAGTGTATAACTAATAATCCTGCCACACAAGTTTTAAACCACTCAATGAAGTTCCAGTTACAATACCAAATTGCATAATGAATGAGCTACTCACAAGTATACCTTGAGAAGAATCTTTACTTCTTTTCATTATCATACCTGATCTAACAAGTTCATAGTTTTTTACATTTTAGTTACTTTTACAATAAAGAATACATATAAAAAACAAAAAATATACCTGGGTCTTATTTTTTGTTGATGGTTAATGAAATTTAAGCCTTCTTCTTTATACTAATGGTACTACTACTACTACACTAAATAATTTTTATTTAATAAAATAATGCACTAAAGAACACAGAATAATAATTTGCAAAAAACAATGACCAATACTTATCATTATCTTTCTGGTTTTTTAACTATGCAATAAGAGCCTATAAAAATTTAGCTAAGCCCATCAATGTAATTCCCACAAGAACAAATTTGAAATGGAACAATGAAATAGACAATGCCCTGTACAAAAAAACAACAAAGTTTTAATCTATCAAATGACATATTATATTGACTTGCTATTGGGTATAAATAATATAGTATAAAATGCCAGAAAGAATTATTGGCAATTTTTAAAAGGAAGGATGTGACAGGTGGGTGTAGCAAGTGGCTCTAATTTTCTAGTTTATGGCTCTATAAACAAATAAGATTGAAGACTATAAAAATTATGCTTTACCTGAGTAATATTTACAGTATAATAAGTAATTTACTTTAAATTCTGTACTTCTTAGAGGGGTGGTAAATAAATTAGAGAAGACCTAGAGAGGAAATGTCACAATTCTCATACTACGGGAGATTGGTGATTTTTTTAAATATTTCCTTATAGAATTAAGAACTTAAATCTTATATAATATTAAAATTTGATCTATTACCTATGTTTTGATGCCAAGTTTATTTGCACATATTGATAAGAAACTAATTTAATTAAATTTTGAATACAACTCTGTAAAAGGTTGTGACAAGAACACCTTGACCTACCTGACATGAAAGAGTTAAAGTAAATTTACTGAAATTTTATCAATGCCATTGTATTAACCTATGTCATTTTAACAAACAGAACAACCTGATAAGTACTGAATGAAGTCTTTCAATTTAATGAAGTCCATAAAAGAAAATGAAATATTTGTTACTTGAATTCAATTGATATTACTTCATTCTTACATCAATAACACTGTTGTTTAACTGCTAATAGCATATTATATACAAGAGGTGCTGCTGCTACTGCTTTTATTCAGTAGCAGTAAATATTAGCTTTATAACATGCTATTTCATCCACAGTACTCATGTTCCTCACATAAAATGTCCTTCATACAACATTAATTTCACTATAATGTCTACTAGTAACATAATGTAAGAGTGTTAGAGATTAGACTATTTTTGCAATAAAAATACCTAAAGATGACACAAAATGGTGGATGTGATAATTCCTATTATACCTTTGTATAATGATTTATATGCTATTGAAGCAAAAAAAGTAATTTTACAATGACTGAAATTACAAGGTGTGAGATAAGTAATGTTCCTAAGCAACAAATTACAAGATGTATGAGGAATGGTAACAATCACACCCTCAAACATGAGAAACTGGTGTATCTGAAAAATAAACAACACTCCCAGTACCAGGTTTATTTATAGGTGTGGCACTGAATGAGTTAAAATCCTGTAAGCATATACTATCACAAATCTCACTAATTTTAAATATAAATATTGTAGGAATATAGCTATAAAAAAAGCATCCACAATACAGGTTTAAACAGAATAGAGTATATTTCCAGTCACTGTCATGATACTTCAGGAAATAAGTTGGTCATTATGCATGTATATTTCACTGACTCTGTTAACCTGTTCATAATCAACTCAATTTATATAAAATGTGATTCTTTAACTGCAAAGAGCAGTAAGTTGTAAAAAAACATATGTTAAGAAAATAAAATCTATAATATTAGAAGGGCTAATAACTTTATTAGTACACAAGTTGTCACTTTCTTCCGATTATGTATTGGTGTAAAGAAATATATGTCAAAGCATCCTGTATATAGATCATTCAAAAACTTCAAGTTCTGCAAAGAATTTATAAAACAAAAAGTTAAATTCTCTTTAAACTCTATATTCATTACAAATGTTAATAAAAAAGTCTGACAAATTATAGCATTGTGTCATTATGGCCAATAGTAAAGGTGAAGCAATAAAACAGCCACACTATTAAATATGTTGAATCCTTGGCATTTAAACAGTCAAACAAACAGGGAAAAAGAAAAGTGGTGATTTTTGCAAAATGTATATGAAAAGCTAATAAGCAACACTGACTTAAGCAGTCTTACCTGAAGCATTTCATTACTTTGAAATTGATTTCCTATCATTCCATTAGGCATACCAAGTAGACCACTAGGTTGCAATCCTCCCATTACAGATGGAGTCTGATAAATTGGCTGTGGCACATACAAACCAGCTGAAAGAAACAAAATTTAGATATACAATTTAAACACATACATCTATGAATAAATAAATACATACACAGACTTTATACTTATACACAAAAAACAGCTTAAAGCACACTTAAGTTTAAAATACTTCCTACTGAAACAGACAGCTTAAAAGGGTTATATCTATATGATTATACTTTAACCCATTAACTGTGTATGACGGATATTTCCGTCACTGAAGTTCTATGACTCAGCTGTGAATGACGGAAATATCCGCCAGTCGCACACATATAACTATAACTATGCGAATGACGATAATTACTGTTTTATTGTGATTAATGGCAACTCAGTTTTATCTGCGAGTCAGAAAACGTCAACTGAGCTGCTCCTACAGCAGTTAATGGGTTAATAACCTTTAGTAACTGGACAGTCATCAAACCATAAATGAAGCAAAAATGTTGGGCATTAAACAGGCAAAGTAGTTAAAGTAATACTTCAGTATCTGAAGAATCAAAGGATTTTTTTAAAACAAATATCCACAGGCAACAACTAAAAATTCTCTCGCCCTCACTAACAAGAGTTATCAGAAAGAGGCAGTAACCTAAACAATTGTAGACAGTAATTTCTTTCATAAAAGAAGTAAGAAATCACAAGATAAAATCAACAAAAAGGAACATAATAAAAGAAACTTGACAACTTTCAAACAAAGTAACACTAAATGGACAGAAATGTAAGAGCAAAAGACCTGATTATGGCTTTAAAATTACTGATTAGAAATTTTACCCATTGCTTAACTCTTCATTTTAAACTTCTTTCATGAATTTATATTTATGTAACAAGAAAAGTTTAAAGAGACATTTGTATCTGGCTCACGTTATGGAATGTTTTAAAATGTCAACAATATTCATTCATATCTCAAGTATCTTTTATACATAAACATTTCTTAAATATGTTACATTTATGTAAAATGATATATCTAGATGTCTTATTTAACAAAATATTTAAGTCACTCAATACTTACAATAATGTAAAAAGTACGAATGGTACACCAACCAACAATTAACAGTTGCCAGTCACCTTGTACAATTACTTACTCATCTATAAACATATAAAAAACAATACTTTTTAAAAAGTATATTACTTTACATGATATTATAAAGGTGGCTACTGATGTGCTTGAGAAATTCCTAACTCAACTATTACACTAAACAAAACATGTTAACTTATGTGGTACTACAAAAGATCACAGCTGATGCCTTTCAGAAATTCTTGTCCTATACAGTTCCTTATCAATATCACAGTTGTTACACTAAACCAAACATTATTTTACATGGTGCTACATTCTTTTTGTACACCAGTTCATTTAATGTAATAAATCTAAGAATAACTACTCATACTTTGTTCTCTTTTATAGATGTTTATCTTTAACCGTGTTTAGTAGGTTTTTCTTTTCTTATGCAATTGATATTAAAGGTCCAACAATACATACAATAATATATTCAATCTTATTGCTCACAGAAATATACTTTTGATTATGTTATTGACTTCTTACTCCTGTTTTCTGAGACAGCCATTATCTTGTATATCTCAAAAATTATTTTCTTCTATCTTCATGTGATGATAATGTTATATTTTACCCTTTCATAACTAGTACAGAATACATCTATTTTGGTATATTCAGGAAATTTTCTAAATGTTTTCAGTTCTGAATACAGTTAGCATCTTTCCAGTAAAGTGGATGTCCAAAGGTTGTAAACATGCATTAATATTTTACTTAGCTGAAGTTTACATATTACAATAGCTATTCATGGAAGCTTACACCAGTGATCCCGTGTTTGCCCATTTAAAAGTGACACTAATACTTTTGCAAGTCAGTATGAGTTAGGTGTTTCTCCCTTGAATATCTTTATGTGGAATAATTGTTGATATAGGTAATCTAAGGATTGTGGGATACTATATTAAATCCCTAATCTGACTTGTACGTGATATTTCAATATTCTTGATTCTGTCCTTATCCTGTGTGGATGTTTCAGGAAACTCTTTCCACCCCAGCAGCCAGTTATAATCTCATGTGAATAAGGATCCAGTTAATTGAGTAGACATACTATGTATATGAAAAAACGTTTTGTTCATTTGTGTGTATATCTTTACTGTCCACGTTTCAAATATTTTTCAACATAAAATTTATGGGACCTACACTGTGCGGGTACTTGATTATTTTCTGATGGATATCAACAAACCTGAACATGATTTTTGCAACAGCTGATAAGGATGAAGAATACTGATTTTTATTACTCTATGTACAACTTGTGTTTTTTTCCACTGATAAAAGAAAAAAATATAAGATTGCAAATATACAAGTGGAAAAATAAAGATTTGAGGGCACATTTAGCCAGACTAACGAATACTGACAGACATGTCACCCAAGTACACAAATTTCATCTGCTTGAAGATTTCAGTAATGTTGTATATAGATAAACCTGTACAAGCATATTTCATTAAATCGTATCACTTCAGCAGTGTTTATTTTTTGCACCTGCTTGCTTTCATTATTACATCTTTCTCTTTTACTAAGTAACACTTTCCCCAAAATGGTTTAACCCTTTGGTTACAGGAATGTCCATTTAACACTTGCTCATATGAAGAATAATAAACAGTTCAACAATATTTATGATAACTCTGAACTTTCTTAACGTACCTTCATAAAAATTGGTAATATTTTGTTAAAGATTACAAGTATTTTGTACACAAAGAATGAGATTATTTTAATTATTTACAGTCAACTTGTTATTTATTTATTGTAGTTATTTGTACGTGGACTCTGAATAGTTTGAATGCAAGGTGATTTTTGACATTAAGTATAAAAATACTTTTTTCTATCTTATAGTTTTCAAATTTCATTTACATAATCCCAAGAACCTTCTCAATGAATACAAATTTTTTTAAAGTAAATATTTATATGTTATTTTTTCAATTTCTATACCATATTACTAATCGTAGCTATTACCATCAACATATAGTACAATGAAATGTTTAAAAGTATGAGCTAGGAAAAAATGTACCTTCTAATTTTTCATCAAATAATCTTAAAAGATCTTCTTTTGGTTATTATCTTATTTGCATGTATTTACATTTTCACATATAGTTTATTTTTAATTTTCCTTTCCTGCCCTTTAGCATTATTAATTATTGCAACACACATCAATGGCATAAGGGGCCAATATTAAAATATCGTCGGAAGAGAATCTTTAGCCTTCAGCAGAATGTTGTTGCATTCACAATTTACCTGTCTATCTAACTAACATATTTCTAGGTGAGAAAACATTAAATGCAGTTAGACTATTTCTCTATGGAATTCTTCATGCCAATTTTAAAATAACCACTGGGAGATTGTATTTTAAAATGTGCTCTTTCTATTGGTTATAAACATCTAGCTCAACTACGTATAATTGGCTGAGAAATTGCAACTCCATGTGTAGAAAATGGGCATAGCTTCTGTCAAGAATTCCAAGAAAGTTATTTCACCTTTCTCTGAATGTGCCCAAAGGAGATTGAAAGAAGAATGTCTAAACAGAGCAATTAATCTTGTTTCTGTCTATACAAAGTACAGCATACATGAAGTATTCAAGTTACATAGATTGAAGGAAAGTAAAATTGAAGTTTAAGGTTTTTTATGGTTTCTTTTGAAGTAAAGAAATTAAAACTTAAATAATATAAAACATCACATTATAACGTACATTATAAAGTAAATTTCATTGATATAAATTGATAGTAAAGTTGCTTAATTAAATTTTTAATGTAACTCGGTAAAAGCTTGTGTCATGCAGAGAAATGTGCAGAAAGGGTGGGGGGACCCATAAATGTATAGTTAAGATTTTCCAAACCCTTAAAATCACAAGCACTAAAATATTATCTACAGTCCGACTTTGAATCAACTAGCTGAAGAGAGAGCTTAAAATTCTTCTTTAGTTATGGAAATAAAACATTTTATCAATAAAATGTCATACAGAGGGATTATATATGGGACCACTGATCAGTAGTATTCTATCACTTGCTCCTATATTTGCAGATGAAACTCTCCATATCAGCTTTCTCAGCCATTTGGGATTGGGGACGTAAGGATACTCCCATGTTCCAGGTTGTGTGTGTGTGTGTGTGTGTGTGTGTGTGTGTGTGTGTGTGTGTGTGTGGTGGGG